CTGGTGGCATTCCATGACCTGCTCTGGGTGCTGGTTACACAAGTGTGTTCTTCTTAAAATGCTCCTTGTAGCCAGAATGATCTTTTTATAAAGAAGTCACTTCATGCCACTCCTCTGATCAAGGCCTTCCAGTAGATTCTGTACTGGGCTCAACAGTGTCCCCCAAAATTCATGTCTTCCCAGAACCTCGGGGTGTGTCCTTTGGAAATGGGGTTGTTGCAGATGTGGTTAATCCAATACGACTGGAGTCCTTCTGTGGACACCAGTGACATGAAGTTCCTGTTCTTAGAGGAACTAGACACAGAGACACAGAGAGGAGAAGGCTGAGCAAAGTCACAGACACACGGGGAAGAGGCTGCGTGGAGATGGCGGCAGAGATTGGAGGGGTCGATCTACAGGCCAAGGAACACTGGGGATGGCTCGCAGCTCCGGAAGCTGAAGAGCCAGGAAGGACCCTCCCTGAGGGTTTCAGAAGGGCCTGACCCTAGTGCCACCTTGATAGATTTCTGGCCTCTAAACTGTGGGAAAATGAATGAATTCCTGCTGTTTTTGCCACCCAACTGTGTGGTGCTTTATTACTACAGCCCAGGAAATGAATATGGGTTCCCATGTGACTCAGAATAAAGCTTAAGGGCCTTACCTTGGTGCTGGGCCCTGTGCAATCTGGGCTCCTCTGTGGGCCTCCTCTTGGACCCCAGCCCCCTTTACCTCCCTGGCTTTCCTGCTGGGCACTCCAGCCTCTCCCACCACCTTGTCAGAGGAAGTGGCATTTCCGCCCTGCACACAGCTGCGCCGTGCCTGTCCTCACACCCTCACCCTATTCCATTGCTCTTCCTGCCTCTAGCCACCCACAAACTGATTTTACATTTTTCTGTAGAATAGAAACTTATTGAGAACAAAACATTGCTGTTTAATGCCTGCTTCATTGACTATATCTATGTCAATGTGTGGCACTTAGCAAATGCTTGATATTAAGTACATACTTGTTGGATGAATGAATAAATATCCTAATTTGCTTATTAGATAATTTTCTTGTGTGATGAGAATGAGACCTGCTTGGAATTTGTCGGGATTAAGGATGGAAGTTGAACAGATAGATGAGGTCTCAGGAAAGGTTGCTGCAAGAACAGAAATCACAATTGCCTTCTGCAGGACCGGGGAGGTGAGGGAGGAGTGAGGGGAGGGCCCTCGAAGGGGGCTGACCTGGCGGGAAGGCCTGGGAAGGAGGGACAGGGATGGTGAGTGGGGTTTCTTCCCCACTTGGAGGCCAAGTGAGATCCATGGCTCCGTACAGAGTGTGATGTGCCCGAATCTGCTTCTCTTCAAGGCCACTGTGCTCTCCTCGGAGCGGAGTGTGTGGACTGTGCAGCTCATCGGATGTGCCCACAAACACGCTGGTGCCCACGGGCACACTTCCGGGTTGCAGGGTCGTATTTTCAAAGGCCCACCCTGTCATCGGTGCCCTTGTAGGGCCATGGCTGGAGATGAAGCAAACTCCGCACTGCCAGCAGTGGGCAGGAAAGAAGTATTCCCGGAGGAAGGAGGCTTCCTCTTGCCCACACGCATCAGGACAGGCAGACGGAGGCGTCATGGGAGATAAATAACTTGCTTTGCGTTCCTGGTGTGAGACTTTACCTTCCAAAGCAGACTGGTGGAACGCCTCTGTAGATTTTTGTTTTGTCTTATTTTTGCAAACAGAATGACTAAGGAAAGGGAGGGAGTCAGGGACTCAGGGAGGGATCCTTGCGTTGGGAGTCAGACGGACGCTCTCCGGACAAGGATGGTGAGTCAGGCACAGGCCGGAGGGAGCAGGGAGTGGGACATTTGCAACGTGGGTAGGATCGGGGCTTTACAGTCACCAGGGGAATCCCACGGCGGCATCTGTCTTCCCCCACAGTGGTTTGGACACGTGCACACGCACTCTCCAACTCCTCTCAGCTCCGGGTCCTTCCCTCTAGCCTTTGGCCCAGAGCTCACTCCTTAGTGCCCCACACACCTCATGAGCAGGCCTAGTTCATTGTCTCCAAGACATTCTGCAAAGGCCTCACTACCCCCACAGGTCTAAGGAGTTCCTACTGACTTAGGGTCTACAGGGTTCAAAATGCTCTGAGCAGACTGAGAAACCAAAGACCAGTTCCAAATAAGACTTATCCTGAGGAGCACCAGGAGTGCCCATCATCAATTTACAAAATCCTAAACCTCCAAATGGAGAAGACATGACATGTCACTTCGCCCTCAGTGAATGCCCTCTACACATATACCCTCACCAGTCTTGATTCCTTTTGACATGACCCTATTGTGGGAGCTGCAAAGACCATCATGGATCCCACAAATAGGCATGGCGGCCATGGGATCCCACAGACAGGGATGGCGCCAGGCAAGAAGGCCATGGATCCCACAGACAGGGATGGCGCCAGGCAGCCCATGGCACACGGGGGGAAAGGAGAGGGCAAAGCAGGGCAGGGATTAGAGAGCGCAGAGGCCCAGCTTTAGGAAGATGGTTGAAACCTGCAAAGAGTTAACAGCATTCCAGTGGGTCTGGGAGGGTAAACATGGTTTGCATAGAGACGCAGGAGCAGCATGAGCTAAGGGCCCACAAGGGAAGGACCTCGGTGTTTAACAGAAGCATTGGATAGAGAAGTCTTGTGAAACGGATGGAAGGCTAGAGCGGCAGCTGGGATTAACTCACGGAGGCCTGGACTGTCCCGGCCAGGGGGTAAGTTTGTGCTCTTTAGATGGGCGCTGGAGAGTGAAGTGTCCTGTGTTTAGCAAAATCCCTTTCTCAATAGCCCTGATGGAGGCAAGGATGAGCCCTGCAGGGAGGACAGTGAACCAGGAAGCAACCAAGAGGGAATGGAACAGAGGCGGAGGATCTGAAGACTGGGGTAGGAACGGCAGGGCCTCCTCCCTGATCAGCCAGGCAGGGGAAAGAGTGGCATGTGAAGGGAACGTGAGTCTGGGTGACAAGAAGGTGGCTGCTGGTGGTCAGAGACACTGGGCTACCGGGGACATTCTAACAGGTGGGAGAAAATGTGCAGCTTGATGTGGGGCAGCTTGAGAGGTGACATTCGAGAGGCCAGGAAACATTAGCTCACGGCAGCTGCACTTTTCTCTGCCTTTGATCATTGCCCATCTGGGCACCTGGCTGACACTGACTGGAAGGAGAAAGGGCCAGGGCCAGGAGGCATTTACTTCCCCTCCCATGGCCAGAGGCGGCCAGCATCCTAAAGAATGAGGGTGAGTGAAGGAAGCATTTGGAATTTCACAGAGAGGCCCATTTCCCTCCGCACATATGAAGCACCTGCTAGTGCTGTGTACTAGACGCTGGAAAACTGAAGTTCTAGGAGGAGGAGATGCTTGTAGAAACAATAAACGAAGAACATGCAGGTGGGAGAGCCACAGACAGGACCCAGAAGGCCTAAAAGAAGCCTTGGTGTGAACCAAAGAGGAAGAGGAAGGGGAAGGAGAAGGAAGCAGCTTAGGGTTAAAGGACAAAAGAGAACCTAAGCTCCAGGCACACAGGCCAGGGAGGTCCTAGGAGTGAGGGGGTTGGGGAGGGTCCAGGGAGGGCGAAGCAGACCCAGGGAGGGTGGGGAGTGGGGAGAGGGCAGTTAGGGGGACAGGGAGGGCCCGGGAGTGGGGGGAGGGTGGGTGGAGCAGGGAGGGCCCAGGAGTGGGGGGAGGGCAGGGGGTGCCCAGGAGGGTTGGGAAGGGGCAAGGGGTCTGGGGAGGGGTGGGGGGACAGGGGCAGGGCTGGGGAGGGTGGGTTGTAGGGGAGGAGGAGGGGGAAGGCTGGAGGGGGCTGGGCAAGGTGGGTGCTAGTGATGGGGGAGGGCTGGGGAAGGCCTGAGGACCCGAGTGCAGTGGACAAGAAAGAAGCCTTGGAGATGGGCAGGCAACAGCGCTGCTAGGAAGAACAAGTGAGACAGGAGACCAGGTGTCAAGGGACCAGACGGTGACTGAGACAGGCAAATATCACCCAACCCACGCCCGGTGCTGATTTCCATGTTAACAGACATGTGTAGCATCTCAGTGTGAAATGCTCTCAAAGGTCTGTGAAGTCCACAGCACGCCAAAGCACTGATGTGATGAAGCGTGTGTGTGTGTCCATGTGAGTATTTAGCACAACAGTACTTGGGCAGGAGGTGAGTCCACTGAACAACTGCCTTTATTTAGAAACACAGACCCCACACGTTTCTGGAATCCTGAGCCCCAGTCTGACTTTGTCACCCCCTGACTCTGTGGGATTGAGTCAGTTGGCTTGTCAGGGCCCCTTTGTAAAATGTGTGGGGTTTTAATCCAAGTAGAGTTAGAAGCTTAAAAGTTTGTCCATTTGTGGCCGGGCGCGGTGGCTCACGCCTGTAATCCCAGCACTTTGGGAGGCCGAGGCAGGCGGATCATGAGGTCAGGAGATCGAGATCATCCTGGCTAACACGGTGAAACCCTGTCTCTACTAAAAATACAAAAACTTAGCCTGGCATGGTGGCAGGTGCCTGTAGTCTCAGCTCCTCGGAAGGCTGAGGCAGGAGAATGGCATGAACCCAGGAGGCGGAGCTTGTAGTGAGCCGAGATCGCACCACTGCACTCCAGTCTGGGCGACAGAGCGAGACTCCATCTCGAAAAAAAAAAAAAAGAAAGTTTGCCCATTTGTAAAATTGTGGGGTTAGTCTACATTGTTTTAAGCCGTCTTTCAATTCTTAAAAATAATTACAGCAATAAAACTAGGGTGAGTCTATGATTTCAGGCAAATTCTAATTGGCTGATTGTACTTTTTTCTTTTGTATCTAAAATTAAATTAACTGATACCTTCACGTATACACTTGATCTCTGTTGATAACATGGTGGACTAAAAAATTGTTAGAATAGAAAAAAGTACATAAAGAGTGAAATAATATGATATCTTCACAATGGCCAAATTGTACTGAGATGGTGATGAGGAGCCGCTCTATGTCCTGAGGCATCTTCTAAGAAAATTCTCTGGCTGGTGCTTTCTGAGTTCATCCTCTTCGGACCTCGCTGCTCTCACATTTTTGTTTGTATTTCTTCATCTTCTGCCTGGTTCGCCTGTCCCGCAGCGTGGGGTCTGATCGGGTTCTTGGATTCCACACACTCCACAAGCCCATACGCAAGCATGGTCAGGCTCAGGACCCCCAGCAGAATGTAGAGCTTGACTCGCACACACAAAAATGTGCTGTACCCAAAGGCAATGACGTATCCCAGGGCCTCCCACAGGCGGTAATTGGCGAAGGCAGCTTCCTTCCTCTTCTCAAACAGAATGCCGTAGAGAGCTGCGGAGGAGAGAGCGGAGTGAGAGCTCTGCCATGGGCCCCACGGTGACCCTCTTCATGAAAAGAGCACAACGGCTTTCCCACTGCCCCATTTTCTCCACAAAATCAGGACATTTTTCTTTTCTCACGACAGAATGATTTTACATGGCAGATGATAGCATGAATCCCGAAAATCTGAGGCAGGTCTCAGTTAATTTAGAATGTTTATTTTGCCCAGGTTGAGGATGGGTGCCCGTGACACAGCCTCAGGAGGTCCTGATGAGATGTGCCCAAGGTGGTGGGGGCACGGTTGGGTTTTATACATTCTAGGGAGACATGAGACATCAATCAACATAGATAAGATGAGCATTGGTTTGGTGAAGAAGAGCATTGGTTTGGTGAAGACGAGCATTGGTTTGGTACAGAAAGGCAAGACAACTCCAAGCAAAGGTGGGAAGACTGGAAGCAGGCAGGGGGCTTCCCGGTCACGGGTAGATGAGACAAATGGTCGCATTCTTCTGAGTTTCTGATGAGCCTCTCCAAAGGAGACAATCAGATCAGTGAGCAGAGGGATGACTTCGAATAGAATGGCAGGCAGGTTGGCCCCAAGCAGATCCCAGCTTGACTTTTCCCTTTAGCTTAGTGATTTTTGAGCCCCAGGATTTTCCTGCTTGTGATTTAAACACAGCGGCTCCTTTGGGGCTCCGCCCAGGCTGCTGGCCACAGAGACCCAGGAAAACCCTTTATAGGCTGAAGCCAAGTGGGCAGGTGAGGGGCAGGGACAGGTGCAGGGACAGAGGTAGCCTGAGCTCCGGTGGGGCAGGGTGTGCTGTGACCTTAACTGCAGGCAGCAGGGCCTGAAACCAGAGGCAGAAGCATGTGGTTCCCCAGGAGGACGCGAGACTGCCAGCACTGGGGTCCTTGAGGCAGGGAGGATGGTGTTTAATTTTGTAAACTCCATGGCACCTGGTTCAGTGCAAGATACACACTGAGTGCAGAGAGAACCGTCTTCCCGAAGATTCGCTCTACCCACCCCTCCTTAGTGCTGGAGATGAAACCGTGTTCGGGGAGGCCCAGCACCGCTGTGTTTGGGAGGGCGCCTGCCTGGCTGTGTGGCTCCAGGGAGGGCAATGACAAGGGCTGTGAAACACAGTCTTTGAAGCCACTGTCCCCAGCAGCCGCCCTGGGATGGCCTGGGAGGGACGAGGCCCTGTCCCGCCCAGGCAACAGATGATGTCACTGAGAGAGGGATTCCCTCCAAGAAGGAAAGTGTCCACATAAACACCCAGGAACACAGGCCTGCTCATTTCCACAGCAATGTGACAGATGTCCATGAACTTGACCCCAGGGACCTTCCGCTCCCATCCAAAGGGGTGCTTTTTTTTTCCCCTCTGGATTTAAAGAAAGTGATGAAAAGCAGCTCGCCCCAGCTGGTTTTGTACAAAACAACTCACATCGTGAATGTTTCTCTACTGCTGAAGACCAATGCAGATGCACTTACAGCAGGGGAGCACCTTGTCTACAGCCCTTGCCCTAAGATTCACATTGTAAACAGCTTAGGAATGTTCGGGAAACAAGAAGTTCTTTGGAACCCTCAGGACAAGGCGCCCTTCTCGTCCCACAGTCTGCACACTGTCCACCTTAATAAAAGTAATGACCGAAGAGAATTGAATAACCAAGTTTAGATTTAGTTGGCTTCTGAGACTCATCTAAACACCTCTTGTCTGTTTTTTGAGGGTGACTCTTAGCGCTGGATCCAAAACCAAGTTTCTAGGGAAGAAAATCCAAGTTGAGACACCATGGCTATAAGTGGTAGATCATGCTATGTTCTGTGGCTAAAAGCTCCCGACTGCACCCTGGGCAGGTTGCAAAACCAAAGCCAATGGACCCAGATTATAAATATTCTAGTAACACAGGCAACTCTAATTTTAAGCTTTTTGGGAATATGGGTTGATGTCACTCAAGCGTTTCAAGATGAAATTTATATTGTGCTGCCATGATTAGAAATCGCTGTCCTCCAAGAAAGGGACTCACCCCGTTCCCCCACCATCTCCCTTCATCAAGTTCTGGTTGGTTCAAGGCCAATTCAGCTTCTTCATAAGCAGCCGTATTCTCCTCAGCCCTCTGAGTTTTGCCATAAACGGAAACTTTCCGGGCCCTCAATGCCTCACATGTCACATGAAGAACTTGACATTCGCTGACTCTGGTTCCAAAATCTGAACGTAGAGAGGAGATCCACAACAAAGAGAGAAAGAGCTAGACTGTCTGCTAGTTCACATAGTTGTGTTCAAAATCGCCTAGATGTGTTTGGGAGACAGGAGGAGCCCCCAGCATGGAGGATCTGGGACCCAGAAGGTAGCTGGAAAGTGGGCTGTCCCCTGCCCACAAAACAGAACTGAGGAGGCCGAATAAGATGGGAGTGGCCCCAGACAGAGGTGACACCATCACTCCCACCTGTCTCCTAACACATCTCTACCCACAGAAGCAGAGTCCACGCCTACAGAGGGAGACGCCAAGGACCCAGATGATGTCGCCGGAACTGCCTTTAAGAAACATGGAGGAAGAATCAGGGGAAACCGTTTGCCCCACTCGGGAAAGGGGAAGCCACGTGTGTGAATGACATCAGACCAGTCTAGGGGAGGAGAGGCCAATACCAGAGATAATTAAAGTCAGGCTTTTCAGGGAATTACTCAAAATTTGGTCCCTATTTTAATCCAAACATAAAGCAAGCAATGCATTTATTGTTTTGAATTGCATGGAACTACACACAGCTAAGGACATAGTGGGGAAAGACATTTTTTAAAAAGGAGAGTAGACTGAAAACAGTATTTCAACAATCCTGAAATAACTGTACGCGTGTACAAGATTGAACACATAAGGAAGCGGTCATACCTGGTGGGAACCAGCCTTCTGGCTGGCACAGAAAGGAGTGACAGCTACACAGTGGGGGCCAGAATAAGCCCCGTGACCTACTGTCCACCTTAATAAAGAAATAATGTGGCGTTGGATGGTGACCCAAAGTGCAAAGTAAATATACGAGCCCATGCAAATATACGATGCCCATGCTGATGCAGCCTGAATGGATTGAGTCAGTAACACACCGGGAGAAGGGACATATTTTTGTGGAGGACTACAGTGCACACACAGACGGTCCTCAGGGTGAGGATTAGCTGCTCTCTCCTTGACTGCTGGCTCCCTGGGCACTGGGTCTGCAGGACCGCATGTGGAAAGGGAAGGTGGTGAGTTTGCAGTGGAGAGATGTGGCTGGCACCACGGTGCCCACGGGATCAAGGTTAACATCGCTGGTGAGGAGGCCTGTCCGTCTTCTGTATCCCATGAAGGATGGGACAGGGAAGCACCTCACCAGGGGATTGTCCTCCCAAACCCTGTGTCCCAGCCTAACTGGGCGAGAAAACAGCAAACAAAACCAAAGTTAAGTGGACAGTCACAAACTACAGTGCTCTTCCAAAGGGTCCAGGTCATGAAAAACAAGAAAATGAAAAGCTGCCACAGGAGCAATGCAGAAGATACGATGACTGAGTCCAACAGGGAGTCCAGGACAGGATCCTGGCACAGAAAAAAGAACGCTCTCGTGGGAAACCTGAAGGAACCTCGACAAAGGCTGTCCCTCCACTAACTGTCACATGGCAGCGTTGCTTCCAAGCTGCACGAATGTGCCGTGGCTGTGGGAGATGCTCAGCGCTTTGGAGAAGCAGGCACAGGCCTATGGGGTAAAATGAGTTGTCTATAGGTTGGTACCTTTCAAGGTACCAACTTTTCTGTAAATCTAAAACTATTTCAAAATAAAACTGTATTTAAAAAAGACAAAGCATTGCTCCTTAGCCTGGCCTGTCAGCCTCTTCTTCCCAGGTGGCCCAGGGTTAAAGAGACCAGGATGTGGCTCCTGTCCTCAAACACTGGGATGGGGATGAGAAGTTCAGCAATCTTGTTTGGTCAGAGAAGACAGGTTATGAATAGGCATTGAAGAAGTCATATTTTCTGGGTTTATCAGCCTGAAAACAGCCAACAGAGCAAAAGAGTATTTTTAGACTAGACATTCCATATCTTCACGGTAGTGCATTGGTGAGGAAGAGTTGCCCTGGCAACCACACTCCATCTTCATTTGCTGTCAGAGGGAATAAGCAGAGAGGAGTGCCTGGCACAGATCTCCCCTTGCAGAGGCCGGGGGATCGCTGGAGCCCAGTGAGACAGTGAGCCGGGGATCCTCAATTCTGGCCCAGGAAGGAGGGGCTCGAATGGTGAAGTCCTCTGACCTGCTTCTAAGTGGGAGACTGTAAGGACCTGTCTTTAAACTGAGCAGTGATGACTAAAGGTGAGGACAAAGTTCATTGGGTTTTATCTATAGTGTCAGGCCAATTAGAACACATGTGGCCCACATATGTTCTTAAAAGAAAGCACACATTTGGGGAGAATAGGATTAGAAATCTAACTTGCTATTTAGAAAAACAAAAATGAGGAAGAGCTGTTTTTAGATGTAGCCAAAGTTACATAAAATTTACTTTTTTCAAAAAATAGAGAACAGAGACCCTGTGTGTGTGTGTGTGTGCTGTGCTGCATGGAGAGCCAGCCTGCCAGGAGTGCACGAACATGGTACTCAAAATGCCACTCGCTATTTAACATTGCGTAGAGTAAAGTCCACAGGGAGCTTCCTCAAGTATGTGAAAATATTTTCCCCAGCACTTTTTTTTTGTGAGACAGAGTCTTGCTCTGTCACCCAGGCTGCAGTGCAATGATGTAATCTCAGTTCACTGCAACCTCTGCCTCCCGAAGTTCAAGTGATTCTCCAGCTTCAGCCTCCTAGCGCTGAGACTACGGCATGTGCCACCACGCCTGGCTAATTTTTTGTATTTTTAGTAAAGATGAGGTTTTACCATGTTGACCAGTCTGGTCTCGAACTCCTGAGCTCAAGTGATCTGCCTGGCTCAGCCTCCCAAAGTGGTGGGATTACAGGGGTGAGCCACCGCACCCGGCCAATTTGGTTTATTTTTGAAAAATTACTTTTGCTGTACAGAAAGACACAAATAATTTCCATTTAAATTAGCATCCCTTATTAAAAGGAGTCTTTATTCCAGTCATTCACTGGACTTGGACATTCATACTTTGTCCTTAAATCTTTGCACAGTTCAACAAGACCTTCCTGAGAGTATCGTGTGTCCATATAAGGAAAAGGAGAGTTAAGTCCACTATTCACATAGCTCAGGAAGAACAGAAACCAAATACGAATGATCACATTCATTGGGAGCATTTAGAGAATTATCTTATGAAATATTGTGGGGATATCTGTCCCAGTGTTTTTCTTTTAATTTAATGTGTAAATACATTTTTAAATCAAGTAAGTTCAGATAAGTCACTGTGCACTCTGTAATGGGATGCATTTGGGGAGCCCAAAACACCGGTTTCTGCCACACGTCCAGGGGACGGTTTAAACAAATGCTGTGTGATGCTTACTGGTAACGTAGCTAGGAGCCCTGCAGGCGACATGACACGCCGCTAGCTTATAATTCTGCACTGCCAAAAACACCAAAGTGAGTTGCTGTTTGCTCTCCATTAAATCAGTATTTGTTCTTGTTAAGCAAATGCCTGGCCTCGGGTCCAGCTCACCCCCTTCCAGGTTCCCGGCCTTGATACCGACAAGCCAGAGCTTGGCCCATGGCACTCGCCAAGCACACTCATTTTGGTGAAGAGCTTCACTACGTCCAGCAGCATTACTGGGGCAGCAGAAAGGACTGTGAAACACGGCTCCTTAAATCCAACAGTGTGGGTTTGTTCAAAGGTGATTTTCAGCTGTCCTGGGTGGATGGCAACCCACCAGGAAGACAAGAAAGGATTTGACTGGAGTGTTTGGTCCGTGATCTGAGGTCACATGTGCTCTTTATACTGAGTGCAGGGACAGCAGCCAGATCTCAGAAACATTGGCCTGTACTTTGTGGGTTTGCTTTTTCCAAAGTGTGTTTGCCAGATAAGCCCCCGAGTGTTTGCCAGATAAAGGCAGAATGGTGATGTTCTCCTGGAGGGAAGAGGGTCTCGTGAGCCTTGTTTCACCTCTCCGAGAGGACCCTTCATCTTGCCTCATCAGCATCTCTTAGACATGCAGTCTTGGCTTGGGCTCTGACACTCTTGGGGCCTTAGATGGGGTTTTGGGGAAACCTGTGGTTCCTACCCTTAAGCTCCTCATCTGTGTTATTTTCAACACCACCCAGAACACACCCTCCAACCAGTGGCTACACACAATGACCTCAGCCCTTCTTCCTAGTGACCTTCCTCCAAAACCTCACACGCCCCTTGTGGAAAACATGACCAGCAGCACAAAGCACCCTGAGCTCAGCAGCCTGGCATGAGTGCAGTGGTACAATCTTGGCTCACTGCCACCTCTGTCTCCTGATTCTCCTGCCTCAGCCTCCCGAGTAGCTGGAATAACAGGTGCAACTGTGGTATCCCCTCCCAGTTCACCTGCTCTCAGACCTCTGAACCCTCTGGTGTCGCTTTCTGCCTGAGCCTGGGGCCCCTTCCTCCCGGCTCCTCCTGGCTCCTGCTCCTCTCCCACCCGTGTTCTCACTGTTCTGCCTGACCTCCTGGCCAGGCCACCCTATTCTGTGAGGACTTTGGCATTTGGGCTCCTGCCATCATCACGGACGTCACCTTCCATCTGACAACCAGCCTTCCCGAATTTCCTAGGCCGCACCTTGGACCTTGTCACCTGCCTTTGGAATTGATTGTTGTGACACGGCACAGACTCCACATAGCTCCCAGTCACTCCTGCGGCCGCGTTTCTGCTGCTTCCAGTGACCCAGGTGCATCTGACCTCCCCGCATGCTGGCTCCCACACATGTGGGATCCCGGAATGGCCACTCCACCCCCACCCCTCTGCACTCCCCTAGGTCGCCTCTCGGGACCTCCCAGCCTCAGCAAGGCCTTGGAGCCCCCTGCCGCCTCCTGCCCTGGTTCCTCCTGCACCCCACCCCATCTGGACAGCAGTCAGCCTAGACGTGATGTAGACGTGGTCTCTAGGACGAAGCCCACCCTGGCCTCCCCTGCTCCCCAACACCCCATCTGCTCACAGAAAACTCCGGCGCTGCCTCCAAGAAGCCCTTAACGCCCTCCTCCACAGACACTGACCCTAGTGACCTGTGACATGTGTGGCTTGTGGTTCACACCGCCACCTCCCATCTTCCATGGGCTCCTTGGTCCACACTCCCACCTCCCCATCGCCCAGGGCCCTTTGGATGGCCCTGCATGTTTACACCCCAGGCCCAGGGACGCAGAGTGGGTGCCTCTGATCACAAGCACGCCTTGAGTAAAGGTTTTCAGTCATGAAGAGACTGCTGTCCTAGGGGTAGACAGTCTCGTACTCCAGGCTCGGATGGGTGACCTGACTTAAGCAAACCACGTCATCCCAAGGGAATGGTGCTCCAGAAGGAACTCCCGGTGGTTTTCCACTTTTGCATCATGAATCTGAATAAATGCTCAGAGAAAATACGTCAGACCCAGAGGCGACATCACAGCCCTCTGGCCCTCCCATCTCTCCCAACTCACCTCTCCTGGCTCTGGTCCATTGGCAGCCAATGAGCCCCCACAGCTGCCTTGGCCAGGGACTGGCCCTCCTGCTGCCAGGAAGGGGCCTGGGCTGGGACTCACCTGTTCTGTGTCTGCCAGACGGCATTCGCCATGCCCCACAGGCCTGAGAATACGAAGAACACCGCCAGCTGGTCAGCACCAGTCTCCAAGCAGCAGGAGGGCGATCATACAGGACAGATGGGTCACCGCGCCTGGGGTTGCAGAGGAAACCGCCAGGCACGAGGGTCATCACCATGGCCTGGAGGGGCCCGTAGGTGGGTCAGCACTGGAGCAACCGTCTCAACCGGCCCTCTGAACCATCCCCTGGAACTGTCTCTGGAACTGTCTCAACCATTTTAATCGCCCCAATCCATCTCAACCGTCTCAACCATCCTCTGGAACCGTCTCAACCATCTCAATCATCTCAACCATCTCAACCTTCTCAACCATCCTCTGGAACCGTCTCAATATTTGCTTCATGCTCAGTGTTCCCTTAATGCTCTGGGAAGTCATCTTTTTAGTTGAACTTTGATATTTAATTTGTGAGCTGGTGTGCACGCGTATGCCAGCTCTAAGTCAATGGTCTGCACCCGCATACCTGCTGTGTGACCTTAGCCCAGAGCCTGGAGGGCCTTGGTGTGGTCTGCATCACGTTAAAGGAAGGTCACCCTGTCTGGGCCTGAGGTTGCCCCCTAAGCCAAGAGGGCTTCAAGTCAGGAAAGAGAAGGGCCTCCCCATTAGGTATAAGTCAAAGGATCCCAGCCCCTTTCTTGGAGTGGCCAGGGATAGGACAAAGTGTGCCCATGGTTTCATCTGAGCCTTCCAAGTGGGGGGCCGGGGGAAAGGAGAAGGCCAAGCAGACCTCCCAGACAGGTGGCATCTTGTGGGCCTCTCTCCTTGTGACTCGCCCCAGCAGGTCACAGATTTGGGATCCCAATCTACAGGCTGTGGTGGTTCTCCAGGATGCAGTAACGAGGCTGCCCAGTGACGCCTCAAGACGCCTGGGCAGAGGAAGAGCAGGGTCTCTGGCAGCAGAAAGGCAGGTCTGCACCGCGTGGCCCCCGGGCTGCCTCCCACCTGGGCAAGTCCCTCCACTTCTCCGCCTCCATGATTTCCCCTCTCTGTAAGGGACACTGGTCTGCTTCACAGGGTGGCTGGGAAGATGGATAGGTGTCCCCAGGCAGAGCCTTTGGGCTCCATGCCCCGGGCGGATGCTCCCGTGTGCCTCCCTCTGCCTGCGCCCACACCCAGCCCTTCTGCCTGGGGCATTGACATGCCAGGCACCGCTTTTCTTCTTAGTGCCCGCATTCCCCACTGTCTATGTGATCTCTGACTTCATCCCTTCTCTTCTCTTCCCAAGGAAAATGGAAGGCACTGTGTGTTTAGGGAGGAGTCTGTGGCCTTAGAAGTCTTGTCCTTATCCACTGTGTGAACAGATGTGAAATAGAGCCACCCCTAACCCCAGTGTGTGACCTTTCTGTGACACCCATGGCCTCACCACTGGCTTCATGTCCCTCATTTGCACCTGTAGAGACCTCTGCCCCACCCCACCCTGGCCTGGTCACCACACCGAGTGCCCACTCAGAGCAGGCACTTGCCAGGTGTGGTCTCTTTATGTCGAGCACAGTGCCTGCCCAGTGCCGGCTTGGAGAGAGATCTGATTCCTGCTTGTTGAGGGGGAGAAGGGAAGGACTGAAAGAATGAATGATCTTACAGGGTGGTCACTGATTTAAAGCAGTTTCAGGGGCACTTTTCCAGCCCCGTCCTGATCAGAGCTGTACGCGCTACTGCAAACTTCAGATGGCTGGGATTGGGACGCACGCTGCTACCTACCCAGCACGTAGAGCACAGCTCCCCTGCCTCGTACTGCAGATCTTTCCATACAACACGGAGCACAGCACAGGCCGAGAAGCAGATCATCACGCAGCGACGAAATGGATGCCCAGGACGCAGGTGACGTGAGGGGACTGGGGGAGAGGGATGCAGAGCCAGGCCACGGACGCTCCTGCAGGCCTCCCACACTCAAGCTGAAGCTGCAGTCGGGTGCTTTGAACATGTGTTTGAGACGGCCGGCAGGCCAGTGTAGTGGACACCTTCCCTAGGCTCTGTGGTTCTATGCAGGAGAAAAGCTGGTGTTGGTACGAAAAATCCTCTTTGGGGAAGAACTAAAAGGAGGTAGTTGGACAACTCTGACAAAATTTTTTTCTCATATATTTCTTGCTATTTGCTGTGAAATGTGCATTATTTTATATGAAGCCAATACACCTACTTTTGCTGGGGCTAATCATTGCCTGTGAGGTCTAAAGAGAGTTTAAAAAAAAAAGAGAGAGAGAAACTGAAGAGGCTGCCCTGCCACCTCTTCCGGGGCCTCAGCAGCCCAGCAGCCGGCTGCACACGTACTCTCACACCCACCACACCACACTCCCATCACGGGCGGCCTCGAGGGCAGGCACACAGAACAGAGGCTGAGACGAGAAGACCAGCCACAGCCACATCGGGGGTGACAAGGACAAGTCCAGTGGAGGAGCAAGAGGGGCTGTCTCAAAATGCCAAGTGGACCTTCTAAGGTCCTGTTTCTACCCTTTCAGGCCCCTAAGATTCTCCACTGCTGTCCTGGAAAGTAGCATTGCCAGATATTAAAAGTGAGACCACTCATTGCCTGAGCATACTCCCAGAGACATTTGTGGTTTATCTGAAATTCAAATTCTACCTGCAGAGGTGCTTTTTATCTTAAGCTGTCGGCCTGCCTGGGAGGGATCTGGGGTGGGGATAGACAGGGAAGGCTCCGCCTGAAGGAGAACCTCTGCCAGACACAGGCCCACGCTGGTCCAGCCTACACCAGCTCAACAGTTCCTAAGAGAGGCTTCTTTCTTTACGCACCCTGAGGTGGGGCACTGCCTCTCTCACCTTGAGGGGAGAAGGTGGCCTGAGTGGATGGAGCAGAAGCCTGGAGAGCCACATCGATTTTTAGATTGGTAGAAGCATGATTTGAAAACTAGAGGTGACAGGCGCTGTGGCTCACACTCCTGTAATCCCAGCACTTTGGGAGGCCGAGGCAGGCGGATCACCTGAGGTTGGGAGTTCGAGACCAGCATGACCGACATGGAGAAATCCTGTCTCTACTAAAAATACAAATTACCCGGGCGTGGTGGCACATGCCTGTAATCCCAGCTACTTAGGAGGCTGAGGCAGGAGAATCGTTGAACCTGGGAGGAGGCTGTGAGCCAAGATGGCACTACTGCACTCTAGCCTGGGCAACAAGAGCATTACTCCATCTCAAAAAAAAGAAAAGGAAAGAAAGAAAGAAAGAAAAAGAAAACTAGAGGGAGGCGAATTTCGGTGATATTCATGGACTTCATGCTTTTCCTATATGTAAACTCTAAAGTAAGAGTGCAGGGTGAGGCCCAGGCAGGATAAAGACACTGAGCAAGGTTCATGGGTGAGCTTCAGCGCGGTAGCTGCCCATCCACTTGCTCTGGCTCCTTCCCCAGGAAGACGGTTCAAGCAAGAAGTTCTCCTTGAGACAAGAAGTGAGTTGAAGTTACTTGGAGGTCAAGACCTTTGAATCAGAAACTCAGCTTATGGGTAGCACTGAGAGCACAGGACCCTATTCCTCTAGTCCAGCCCTGGGCAGGTGACCTGACACACACCACAGTCCTGCAGGTACAGACACTAGAAGCAGTGATGCCACGCATGGCCTGAGCCACTGGCCTCTACTTTCATTCATACTCCTTGTGGTATTTCGCTGGAGAGGAATCCTTGCTGCAATCCACTATACAGAGGCAGTAGAATTCAGAGGTACAGACGTTTATCTCTACATAGCTTGAAAGTTGACAGTAATTTGGACCAGAAAGGTGGTGATTTCTTCTCTCCTTCACTTTCCTGTTGAACATGTCGTATGGGTTCGAGAGGCAACGCAGCTATCATCAGGACAGCCAGACACTACCCCCTGAAAGGAAATGGCAAAGGCTTCAGCTTATGGGGCCCAGAGGCAGGGTGGATTGTTTCAGTCGCTCATCCTCCCTCTCCGAGAGAGGGCTAACTCAGATCCAGATTTCGGGTGACATTAGACACGGCACACTTAAGGATCTCAGGTGTCTAGAACCAGAATTCTGGATTGTGCTGACTTCTGATTACTCACGACTTACCAGCTTTCACATGAAGCCTGCCACAACAGGTGGCATAAAATACAAAAATTTGAGAGAGACCTCAGACATCTGAGTGTCCTTAACCATTGACTCTGCTTCTCATTCTAATCCCCAAAGCAATTTCTAACAGCAGTCAGCTTTTTAGTGATTTTGTGATAATGATTCCTACAACGGTACCATGTGCTACACTTTTATTTCAAATAAACAATTTTGTGTAAAAGTCCTCCAATAGGAACTGGTTAAAGATATTAAGGGGTATCCCAACTGCGATGGAATGTTGTGCATTTGAAGAAAATAAAAAAGAAGCTCTTTGTACACGGATGGGAAAATCCCCCATCATAAATGGTAAAAGAGAAAAACAACCAAGAGGTAGAACTTTAGTAGAGTGCGCTACCACTTGAATTAAGTAAGAAAGGACATAAAGATGTACTTGTTTAAATGCGCATTAAATATGTCTAGGAAATAAAGCAGACATGGACTTTCTATGGGTGCAGAACTGGGTCTGAGGACGGCAGTGAGAGGGAGACTCCCCACCACACGCCCTTTCACAGTGCAGTGGTTGCCCACCCAAAGGGTTCATTCCAAGCTCCCAGTGGATGCCTGAAACCATGGGCGGTGTCAGACTACATGCACCATGTATTTTCACTCTGACAACAGAGGCAGCTAACAAGGAGAGACACCCTGGGAGCGCCTATGCAGCACAAAGGTAAGGGAAGGGTCACAGCCTGGGCGGGTGCGCAGGACAGCAAGAGATTTCATCACGCTACTCAGAACAACTGCAACTTAAACCTTATGAATTATTTATTTCTGGAATTTTCCACTTACAGTTCCTTGACTGCAGCTGGCCCTTCAGTCAACAAGTCACACAAAATGAAATGGGGACAAGAGACTCTGGATTTGCATTTTCAACTATATAAATGGGTTATCTATGCAAAAACTATTTTAACTATTCGTTTCATCCATGAGGAAACATCCTGTACTTTCTCATAATTCCAAAATGTGATGACTAAATCTCCATCATTTCTGTCCACCACTTTATTATCTGATCCACCTAATTTTGTTTATGGAGAACAGATATTTATTTAGGTAAGCTGTTTTACATAGAAGCCTTTTCATTCTCTTAATGATTCTAAGTGCCTTCTGTGATATCGTTACATCTCCACTGTTTCTTTTCCACCTGGCAGTGGTCATGATGTACACAGTATTTGGGGCATCACAGATTGCTCAAGATTGGCGGCCATCCTTCCTTTCTCTCTGGGCCACAATCTTCCAGATTGGTTCATTTCTACCTCCAAGAGCTTAGACCCCTGCTCCTCTGGAAGACTACGGAACGATCTCATCTTACTGTGTCTGATCAATCTTATCTAGCGCTTTCTGTCTCTCTCAGCATCAGGGTCTCGTGATGACCTTATGCAGTGGGCTTGCTGCAGCACTGTGCCCTGGCAGCTGAGCCTTCCTGAGACTGGGAGGTTTGGCAAAGCCAGCTGTCTTCCAAGCTGTGTGCAGAAACAGCGGAATCCTAGCACCTGTCTCAGAAAGCACCATTGTCAACCCGCTCCACCCAGAAATGCACAGATTTATTTCTAGGCTTTACTTTCTGTCATCTGCCTACTTTCCATCTTGGCTAAACATACTCCCCTTCCCATTTCATGATAATTCCACATTCTCATGAAGTTTGTGAAATCTACAAGAAAGCGGGACTCTGTTGTTACTGGGTTGTTTCTGGGTCACCCTTCATTTTCTCTCTGCGCTTGTCCTTGGCTCACCATGAGGTCTAGCAGGTTGCCACGCCTGCACGGAGTCCAGGGCATTTACAATTGTCCGGACTCCCTTCCCCAAGCTGACCCCTGAGCTGACTGTGTGTAGACCATGTGGAAAAGGCACATTTTTCCTCCACTACTGAAGGCAGCGCTCCACGATCTGCCTTAGTGGGCCAGGCTTCAGTGTCAGGCAGCTCCAGCAGGACATGACTCCTCCAATCTCCCCAAAGCCTCTTGGGAGGAGGAGAGGCAGGTCAGTGACACAGGCCACACCCCCTTTGTTTCAGAATTATGTGTGTCCAGATGTCATGTGACTCAGAGCCTGTGGGGCATGAATTGGGGGATAATCACACAGCTGTGTCCTAAATTCTAAAGAGAACGGCTCTTTGCAAGAAATTTGACTGTAAGTGGAATGCTCAGAAACCCGGGAAAGTTACCCAGGGAGAGGGTGTTCTTGTTCTTTTAGGTCCATTTTTCTTTCTTGCTTTGTTTATCTTCATGGTGATATGACCTTGCTTTATAGAAAAGGACACATATAGGATCCTGCAGGACCGTTAAGATAACAATAGTAAGACCACTTCTTCATTTATATGTGTGTGATCTCACAGGATGCACTCTAGACTTGGACTCCTTAGGCTGTAGGATTCCAAGTGACCTGGAGAACTGTCTGTGATGCATAAATGGTTGGGGCTATGACCTCAGAGAGCACCCTGGGGTGCACCCTGGGTGTCCTCTGTGAGGACAGAGGGCAACTAAGGGCCTGAAGCCACAGAGAAGCCGGTGCTGTCTATCTAGAGCGGAGACCAGCAAACTATGGTCTGTGGGCCAAAGCCTGCCCATGGCCTGCTTTTGAAAATAAAGTTTTATTGGGCATCGCAGGCACGCTCATTTGCTTACATGTGGTCTATGGCTTTTTCCCACTACAAAGACAATGTTGAGCAGTTGCAACAAGGACCATATGATCCTCAGAAAGATCTTTACATGTAGAAATATTTGCTGTCAGCCTTTCACAGAGGAAGGCTGCCAGCCCCTACTCCAAAATTCTGGCATGTTTGACAGACAGGAGATGTCTCGTTGGTGGCTGCATGACTGGAACTGGTGGAGGCTGAAGGAGACCTGAGGGTCTTGACTCAGCTCAATGTCCCCAAGTCCCCCAGCCTCCCAGCTACGTAGAGGAGGTGGTGAGGGGAAGTGTGGGGGAAGCACAGGCCTGGCTGGTCCCCGGGACCATATTGATGGGAACGTAGGGGCCTGCTGGGAAAACATGACCACGATTCCAAGGCAGAAGAGCCTTGCAGACCGAGCAAACCATGGCTCCTCCTGACTCCCTGTCTGCCAACTTCCACTCACTTCTAAATCCTCAGTCTGTGCCTTGCATGCCAGCACCCTCCCCAGGTTGCTCTCCTGATGGACGTCAATAGCCTCTCACTGGCTAAGAGCCTGGTCCAGCCTCCTCCTGAGCCTCCCAGTGGCCCTGCCACACTCAACACTCTCAGACCCTCCCCAGCTGATTCTGCAACCCCGGGTGTGCTCCAAGACCCCTGCTTTGGTTTTCTGTCTCCTTCAAGGCTCCAGTTGTCCACCTGACCCCTCAGTGTTGCTGAACCAGGTCCGCGTGGCCCCGCTTCTCCGCAACAATTTTCTCCGCTTTTTCTCCCTAAGAACCTCATGCCTGTCACGATTCCGGTCACCACCTCAGAAGATGCCTCCACGTCCACACTTGCATCAGCCTCTGGCCTGAGCCCTGCACAGCGTCAGACTGCCCATTGGACTCACGCAAGAGTCCCTCTGTGTCCCCGAAGCCAGGTGTTCCCGGCCTGAGCTCATCTTCCTTTCCCCAACCCCAGGACTGTCTTGCTCTTCCCGCACCACACGCCCAACCCACACGGACCCTGCTGGCCTCTCTCTCAGCCCCCCACTCTGCCTCCCCTCCCTGCTCCCTCCTCGACCTTGCCAGCACTCCGCCTTAGTGGGCTTCCCGCTGTCCCTCTGCACCTCTAAGTCACACTGGCACAGGGTCTGTCTAGGAGGCAAGTCTGCTCCTCATCCAGACCCCTTTGGCACAACATCGAGGGCCACCGCTAGTCCTGTGCCCCATCTCTGCTCCTCCACCTGTCCCCAGCCCCTGAGGGCTCCTCCTGACTTCTCGCCTCCAGGACCTCTGGCATCGCCCCTGCCTGGCCAATCTTGCCTCATTGTCCAGACTCGGTGTAGGGACCACTCCGCCTGAGGCTTTCCTGAAACTTGGTGCTCCAGGGAGATGCAGCTGCAATTCAGCTGGGAACTGTGCTCACAACACCATCAGACTGAGTCTCGGTTAGTTGGGTGTGTGTGTCTGTTTCCTTCAATAGGTTTCCGCCTACTAAAAGCGAGCTTCTAGTCATCTGAATGTCTGGACCAAGGCTGGCCTAGCATGGCTTCCGTATGCTTGTCAGATTTCCAGCCATTGCTTTACAGGTGCTCAGTCAGATCCTGCTGTGGAAGTGGCCTGAGGACCTGAGGGGTGGTGCCGCACATCATCTCTTCAGCACAAGGAAAAGCTCTACAGTGTGCACGAACCTCTCACCTATGACCCCGGCAGAGTGCGGGACTTCGTGGTTCTGTATTTCACAAGGTACTCAGACCTTGATATTTAAGAAGGACCATTCTTATGGCTTTATGAATCCCCAAATCCAAGAATGACAAAGAATATATATACACATATATAAATACATATGTATGCGTGTATGTGTGTATATATATATATATATATTTTTTTTTTTTTTTTTTTTTTTTTTTGAGACAGAGTCTTGCTCTGTTGCCTAGGCTGGAGTGTAGCAGCATGACCTCAGCTCACCACAACCTCCTCCTCCCAGGTTCAAGCAATTCCTCCTGCCTCAGCCTCCCGAGTAGCTGGGATAACAGGTGCATGCCACCATATTCACTCAGCTAAATTTTGTGTTTTTGTGCAAATAGTCACCACATTGGCCAGACTGGTCTCGAACTCCTGACCTTAAGTGATCTGCCCGCCTCAGCTTCCAAAAGTACTGAGATTACAGGTGTGAGCCACCATGCCTAACCAAAAAGAATATATTTAAATTCCTTACAAAATGGGTTTAAACTCTCTAAATGTCCTCTGTTGTAATAAACCTTTCACTATAACACTAAAGTCACATATGAAACTATTAACATAACATTCTCTATTAAAATGAACTTCTAAGAATGAGCCTCATCATGACAATTAACTTCCTCTGGGCAGCCGTCACCATGAGCTAAACATCTCCAGCTAAGGTGCAACCAGCACTGGGAGCACTCACCCTCTAGCCTTTCCACAGAAGGTGACTCAGTACATTTCTCAGAAAAAAGGTGGTTTATAGCAATTATGGATGTTCAGGGTCCCTTGGCCACAGCTGAAACACAAACAGTCAATCCCAGTGTTCCCAGCCGGCCACCAAGCTGTCTGTACTGGCGGAATGGGTGTGGCCGGGAGATCAGGAACTGAGACTTTAATCACAAGATGTAAACAACCACAGTGGATAATTGCCACTGTGTTAAGCCTCGAGAGATGTATAAGAATCTCTATCACCCAGATCCTCTGTTAGACAGCATGTGTGTACTGCATTTGATTCATAAGAACACTTGCCTGTGTGTAATCCAGACCAATACGTTTTGCAAGGATGTTTCAGAAGAAGAGATTCCTTCATTGGGGGAGATGGTCTTGTCAGCTCAGGAAGGGAGGCTTGGCTCTGCTTTGCCGGGGACCCTGCCCCGGGCCAGGAGCACGGTACGCAGATGCCCAGCAAGGTGTAGACCAGCTGCTGGGAGGGCCTCTGGGTGCTGTTGGTGGGTTGCGGTGGCCACCAAGTGTCACTGGCCCTACAGGACATGAGCTGCTCTTCTGGGGAGGGCTCTGTGAAGCCAGAGCAGATGGCAAGGAGATGACTGCAAATGTGATGAGATGTAGGTTCTTGAGGAATGAAAGTGACAGTGGAAAAGGATGGACCCTGGGAGGTATCACTACAGGTCAGCATGGAAAGACCCAGTGTGGTCAAATAGATTACCCCAGGCACACGTGACCCCCAGACTCCATTTAAGACACTTTGGGAGGTGGAAAATCCTATTAGTGTTCTGCAAAAATATCCAGGGAAGAATAAACTTGGAAAAGTGCTGCTTACTTGTTATACTCACATTTCTGATACAATTAAAATTTTTCAAGTTTTCAAAAACTAGTCAAAAGAAAAAAGTATACAGAGATTGGGTGCCACGAATGCTGGATTCTTTTTCAGATTTATCCATACTAACTCCATGACTTCGGACAGGATTTCCACAACTTTTCTGTTTTTGAAAACTAATGTTAGTTCTGTGATCTCTTAAAAGAATAGAATTTGAATTAGCAACAACTCTCAGTCAGAGCTCCTGTCAGAATCTCTGAGAAGAGGAGATGTTGTGAGAAAAAGAATATTCAGCATTTTTATTGTTTTAGAAACACAAATTATAACAGACAGTTTACAAAATCTTCTAGTGTGTGTGAGATACAGCTGATAAGAAGGTACAAGAAGGTGGAGAACACACGACACCTCCAAACCTCCGGCCCCAGATTCTGTGTCCTGTGCTCACTTGGAGAACTAACTCACCTGCAGAAATGTCTTCAAAAGAAAAGCCTGTTCCTCCACTTCACTGGCCATGATAGGCAGACTGAGCTTTATCCCCAGTTTCTGTTTCATTGTTGCTGACACCAACAGCAATAATGAATAAAAATTGCTTTGCATCAGCTTTACAGCTTCCCTTCTTCAAATGCACTTAGCACGCATGACAATCGCATGAGAAAAAGGAGAGGCGTTGGCTAAGCAGAGTTTCAAGGGTGGATTTTTTTATGGGATAGCAAGATGGGAGAACCTTGATGAAGTGATAGAAATAGTTGTGGATACTCAGTCAGGAGGGCTGGATTGGTTTTTACCCCGTTGGGAAAGGCTTCCTCTAAGAATGAAAGAGATAGCCTATGCCCTGTGCTTAAAGCCTCAACATAGGCACCAATGGCATGGGCACAAATGAGATATGCTCTTTATATTTATACCAGGGCAAGGTCGGGTGGTAGAGACAGAGGAGCCAGGGCATCAGCCCGCCCAATGTCCACGCCTGTCATGGGATGAGGGGCCTGTCATGAAACATTTGAAAATCTGGTCAGTGTATCAGGTCACAAGGAAAAGACATCAGGCAACCCCGTCCTTAGTCTAACAAGGATGGTTGTGCAGTTGTGACTCCATGAACCCAAATTCTACCGACGTGGCTTAGTTTCCCCATGGTGCCCTCTCCCAAGGGCTGCCCTGCCCCTGTGAAGGCATCTATGGAAGACATAGATCTTCTTCAGTCCCACCCGACTGTCCAGAAGAGAGCAGGTAACAGGCAACTCTGAAGCACAGGTAGGCTGGAGAATCCCACTCTGTGGGCCTGACTCGCCTGCCTGCTACAGAATCAAGGCAGGTGTGCAACTGAAATCAGGAACTCCCTTCCCCAGCGGCCATCACCACTGAAACCGCTTTGTTCCACTTGGAGACAACTGCTTTGCCCCCTTTTTCCCTTTTACCTTGGCTGGGAGTTCGGCCAAATACCAGCGATGAGATCAAGTTGCCCCACACAATCGGATGACTGAATATGAGGAAGAAGATGCCAAACACTGGTTCACCACGTCTTTGCCGTGCTTTCCGCCTTCTTCTTTGCGTGTGTTTCTATGATCGTGGAGGCATGTGCCTGCGCAGACCAGGCGGCGTGGGCGGCCCGAGCCCCAGCAGCATGGAGGTGGGGATCAAAGTGTACTCTGTGGGTAAAGCGGGGCAGACCCACAGCACTGCCTGTGACAGGAGACACAAGCCCATCGCACCCGTGTCCCTGCGGTTCTTTAGTCTTTCTGGGAGAAAGAACGCGCCTGGCTCCATTGCAAGCATGGTAATGGGTGTTGTTGGTTGGATGGATGGATTCACCATTAATAGATCTACAGATAAATGAGCAAAATCCGTGCATTTCCAGCTCAGATTGATTTGCAAAAGTGAATTGAAGGCCAGTGAGGCTCTTGCATTGGATGCAACCACAAACAACAAGATGAGGAGCACAAAGAAGGCCGAGGGACAGCCTTGCCAAAAGACCAAGTGACCGGCTCAGGCCTTGGTGGCAGGGTACTGTGTGAGACTCTGCAGCTATTGAAGAAGGACATGCAGCCAGCTATCAGCATGTCTCATGTCCACAACCAGCTCCCTGGGAAGAGATGCTCCATGGCTGTGTTCCCAGGGCCTGGGGTGCAGTCCAAAGCCCTCAGAGCTGCCCTGTGGTCCATCTCACCAGGGAGCAGGTGGCCTCCCATCCCTGTGACCTGCCTCCTGGCCATACCCACCTCCCTAATGGTGGGCGAGGTTTGGTCCATTGGTGATACATCTGCCTAGGTAGCTCTGAGACTCACCCTTGCATTGGATAGAGTCCCCTGTGTTACTGAACCCTGCCCAGCCAGGAGCTGAGGATCAGGATGGATCCCAGGGAGAGGCCAGCATCAGGGATCGGGAGGAGGAGGTAGAAGTAGTGGGGGCACAGAGGAGCCTTTGGTGAGAAGACAGTAAGGGAAGCCCAGCACCGTCTGTCACCAAAGCTGCAGGCGTGGTGCGGGGACAGCAGAGCTCATTTTAAAATGCCTGCAGTGAATAGTAATGAGGTGCAAATGCAAGTCATGTGCAGAGGAACGTCCTAGTGTGGGAACGGCCAGGGCGGTGGGCAGGGGGTGGGGTTGCGATCAGCTGGCGGTAAAAGTTGCCCACGGAGAAGGCCACGTGAGCCACATGGAGAGGATGATGGTCCCCTTGCAGCCCAGCCTCTCAATGAGGAGCGGTGGGAGGAACATGGAGGACAGGAGCATGCCTCCGTAGAGGGTGCTGAGTGCTGTCACACCCAGGCCCTCCTCGCTGTACAGGCTGCTCTGTGGGAACAAAGCCAGCCCTGTCAGAGCCCGGGATGGACACAACGGGATGAGGCACCAGTGTCCCTCAGGCTGGAGGCCGCCACAGCTCCCAGGAACCGCCAGCCACAGGCTTGCTGCCCTGGGAGCCTCCTCTGCAGCTGGTGGGAGGAAAGTGCAGGTGAATTTGGAATAAAGCAGTTAGTGTGTGTCTAAACATCAGGAGGGAAGGCCCAGCACCCCTGTGAGTGCTTGTGTTGAGGCTGATGGCTGTGAGAGCTGCTCACGCCTCTGTGGACGCCTGCCTGAATCTCAGCTGAGAACAGGACAGTGTGGCAGGATGGAGCTGGAGACTCTACCAGAACTGGTCTGTGAGGGGCCTGCATGTTCCCGAATGGAAAGGTCTCAGCCCATGGGGAGGCCCTTAAGGATATGAAGCAAGTGAGTGCGCATGAATGATTTCTTCCTTCAACAAATATCCATCACCCACCTCTGAGTGCCTGTCACTGTCTGAGGTTCGAGGATGGACCAGAGATGTGGCCCTTGTGTCCTGGAACCACAGGCTGCTGCCACTGGTGGAGATGACATGGGCAGGCACACGCTGCCATGAGGGTGTTGGGCGCCCGCCACCGACCTCGGTTCCAGGGCAGGGTGGGGGAGAAGGAGGTGACCTCCCAAGATGAGAGCTGAAACGAGAACTCTGAGGCCTGCAGCCAGAAAGGGTGGGAGAGGGAGGTGGCAGCCACAGGGGAGGTGCCATTAAAAGAGCATCCTTGGTCCTTGACGAGGGACCTAGTCCAGACCAGGTGACGACTCATGAGAACTCTCTGAATGAGGCCCTGTCTTCCTCACTGGGGCTGCTGAGCTCTGAGGAGGAGCCTGGGGATTCATGTGCCTTGTTGGGGCTCGAGAGCGCCAACCACGTGAAGCCTTGGGGTTCTTGGAGAGAGGTGGGCTGAGCTCCTGGGCATACTGGGGCACAGCCATTCCCTGAGTGTCTTCCATCTGAATACTCTGTGTTGTCACGCCTGGGGTCCTGACTAGCAGAGACAGCTGTCCCAGAGAGCACACGTAAGGAGCTCTCAAAGTATAGAGACACCATGTTGTCAAAGTTCACAGTTTTCCATTAGAGTAAGCTTGGAATCTATAAGGTCTAGTGATATTTGATAAATTCACTTGGCTGTCCCTAACCACAAAGCCAAGGGCATGCAATCATATTCGCAATGATCTTTTCCTGCGGTTCCCTTTTAACCTCCCAAAGGCAAAGAATGTCCCAACAAATCACGATCCCAAGATCTCCTGCTGTCCAGAGCTCTCCAAGAGCAACGCACACCCTGCTTGTTGTCCAATCCTATTGAGATGAGAGTGGGAACTGCTCACTGGAGGACTGCATCTGAGAACCACTGTTTGTTTTAGAGGATTTGGTGTGGAGTGAAAAAGAAACACCAGGTGAATTAGATTTTTCAAATTTTCAATCTTACTATTGTCTGTGACTACGGGGATTGGAGGTCACAGTTCAGTAACTTGACTGACACATACCTGCAGGCTCTGCAGACCTCCATAGGCTGTAAAGAGAAGCAGGAACCCAAAGGAAACAACAAGGACGTTCCTTAGACTTCTGTCCATCGCTGGCTGAAACATCAATCATCAGTGGGCAAGTAAATGTGTAGCTCCCTTAAAAGAAACTAATTGAGGAACAGGAAAAACAGTCAGTACCAAGAAGTCCCATTCTCTCTTTCATCTGAGCTAGAGGAGAATGTTAGAGGTGTGTTAGTCATTAAGCCTGTCACTCGTTAATGAACTCGGTTATCACTGACCCCATGAAGCACAAGAGAGCGCTGCTACTCATTCACCTCTCTGCGATCCGCAACATCCACTTTCTATGGGGCAAAAGACCGGCACCTTACCAAATCTCCAAATGGTGCTTTTTTCCCCTGTTAAATTCCTAGTAACAGACATGGTCCAGATGGTAAAGTGATACATTTCACTTTTCATGCGTGTATAGAACAGAACATTTCACAGTATAAGAAACTGTCAGAAATTGTCAGTGGTGCAGAATGTGAACTTCAGTCTTAAAGAACAAGGCATAAATGTCAACTTCAAGATACATAGTTCAACTTCTGAAGAAGTGGTAATGTGATTACAAGATCCTGAGCCAAAGTCTTCGTGATTGCAAAGACTGTATGGTTTCACAACACCGTAGACAGCAATTATTAAAAGAAAAAACTACATGAGGATAAGGGAGACTACTCCCTCATACCATCTTGTGCCCAATTTCTGCCTCCAAAGAAAGAAGCAAAATCCCAAAGGCAGAAATGAAATCCACAGGCAGACAGCCCAGCGCCACATCCTGGGCCTGGTAGTTAAAGATTTACCCTGACCTAATTGGGCATATTTATAGATTACAGGCATTGCATAGAAATGCACTGTGAACATCCCTATCCTGTTTTGTTCCGATCTAATTACCGGTGCATGCAGCCCCCAGTCACGTATCCTGTTTGCTCAATCAATCACGACCCTCTCACAGGCACCCCCTTAGAGTTGTGAGCTCTTAAAAGGGACAGGAATTGCTCATCCGAGGAGCTCGGCTCTTGAGACAGAAGTCTTGCCGATGCCCCTGGCTGAATAAACCTCTTCCTTCTTTAACTCGTGTCCGGAGAGTTTTGTCTGTGGCTTGTCCTGCTACATTTCTTGGTTCCCTGACTGGGAAGCGAGGTGAATGGCAGATGGTCGAGGCAGCCCAAGCCTGCCCCAGGGAACATCCCCGCGGGGACTCAGACCAGCTCCGAGTGATGGATCCTGGAGAGTGCTCCCCTGGTAGGCATCTGCCCCCAGTGGGACGCCACCAGAGCAGTGTGTGTGCAGGCCTCATGGAGGGTCAACGAGTGGCTGAACACCGGGAAGGAAATAACAGGTACGGAGTCTGGACACCCAAAACTTGGTAAGACTAGTTCTGAAACTTTCCCCACTCCATTTGAGTGGAAGCGTGGCCTGATCACCCACAGCGTGCCTTTATTGGCACTTTGCCTTTGGTTTTGACTTGATTTGAATTGCTTGACAGATTGGGCTTGGGAACTTGCCCATTCCATTTGGAGGAAGCGGTCTGATTACCCATGGTGTGCCTGTACTGGCACTTTGGTTTTTGTGTTTGATTTGACTTGGATTGCTTGATACTCTGGTTTTGGTTTTGACCTGGCTTGGATTTCTTGATACTCTGATTTTGGTTTTGATTTTGGTTTGGTGTAAACTACAAAAGTGTGTGTGTGCCCTTTTTACCCATTCTTTGTTTTGTGGTGTGCGTGGTGGTGAGCATGGTGTTTTGTCTATGAGGAACATTGGTGAGGCACAAAGTAAGCCCACCCCACTAGGAACTATGTTGAAAATTTTCAAGAAAAGGATTTAAGGAGACTATGGAGTACTATGACACCAGGAAAACTTAAAAACTTGTGGTAAGATAGACTGGCCAAGCATTAGAGGTAGGTTGGCCATTAAAGGAGTGCCTGACAGGTCCCTTGTTTCAAAGGTATGGCACAAGGTAACCTGTAAACCAGGGAACCCAGACCAGCTTGTTTTAGATCCTCCGCCCTAACACACGGTGGTTGAGAGATCAGCATAACTGAGCTGGCAGAGGCAAGGAAAGACCAGCAGAGAGAGAAAGGAAAGAGATGGAGAGGAAAAGAGGCAAAGAGAGAGAGACGAAGAGACAGAGAGGAAGAAACAGACAAAGAGGGAGCTGACGAGAGAGAGAGAGGGAAAGACAGAGGCAGGGAAAGCCAAAGAGAGAGAGACAATTCAGAGAGGGAGAGAAACAGAAAGAGAGAGAGAGAAAGAAAAAAGAAAGAAAGAAAGAAAGAAAGAGAGAGAGAGAGAGGGAGGGAGGGAGGGAGGAAAGAAAGAAAGAAAGAAAGAAAGAAAGAAAGAAAGAAAGAAAGAAAGAAAGAAAGAAAGAAAGAGAAAGAAAGACAAGTAGTTAAGGAAAAAAAAGAATTCTATTCCTTTAAGCCATCATCATACCAATTCTAAATTGGACAAAACAAGGTCTTATGAATAGCAAAGGATAATTAAAATCCCAAACTTACAAGGTTTTCAACAAAAGTAAAGTTTGCTAAAAAAGCAGGTAACATGCATTATAGTAATTCTATTCTTGTGGCCTTTAGATAGTCTAGTCCACAGACACACACACAAAAGGTTTCGCTTTGGAAAAAAAAAGATTATCATCTTCAAAAAAAAAGGGGGGGAAAAAGGGGTGGGTGGAATTTATATAGAAAGAGTGTTACATGGCAAATTCTTGTCCTGAAATAAATTAACTGGTTGTTTAAATAAAGAAATGTTTGTAATAAGTCAGAAAGTTAAGGTAATGTCAAAAATTGCTGTAAAATGAGAGAAAAAAAAAAGGTTATAAAAAAGGTGTGTTAAAAAAAAGAATTTATGTGTAAAAATGTTGTATCATTTAAAAGTAACTAGGCCTCCTGAATGTAAAAATATTGAGGAAAAAAAAAACAGTTTATGTGCAAGGGGTATAAGAAAAGCAAAATATACCTTTGGTTAAAGGATTATAAGGAGGCATAAGAATGTACATTTTTATCATCATTAAAAAGTTAAAAAAAAGTATTGTTTTGAAGGTTTAAGCAAGTTTTAAAATGTTAATTGTAAAGGACATTCTGTGTGTAAACATATTAGCTAAAGTTAAAGAAGCATCATCCAGTTTTTCTGTGAACTGACATTAAAGTAAAAGCATAACAGGTTTTTTTAAAGCACCAACCTGCTCTTTTAGCAAAATTATAAAGGTTAAAATGAGTCTATAAAATCTTACCTTATGGTCAAACATTAAAAATTAAGTAAATATGTCTACCAGGTTTTATTAAAATTAGAGATTTAACATTAATAACACTAATATAAAGATACAAAATTTAGCTTATCTGTATAAAAACTGGTACGATACATTGTTAAATGTAAAAAGGGTACTTGGTCTTTTGGTTTAAAAACTAATAAAAACAGGTACTAAAGGAAATTTCTCAGTAAAAAGGCACTAACGACTATAAAGTTCACTGCCAAGGTCCCCACATTTAAAACAAAAGGTCAATTTTTAAAAATTATATACTTGGTTTTTCTCTTCCACTTTCCTTTCTTTGCAAAAACAAAAACAAAAACAAAAAAAAACAACTCTTTAGCACATGCACCATGCCAAGAATTTCCAGCAAACCAGCACCAGCCTTGAAGATCACGTCTAATGAAAGGTGGAAAGAAGAAAACTTGAGCCAGCCTGGGCTGACCTTACCTTGTGCTGTTAACCACCAAGACTGTTCAGACAGCAAAAAAAGGGATGGACTCATCACACCTGTGTCAAGAAAGCGCTAATTCTCCAGAGTCATGGGTCATAGTCCCAAGGAAAACTCCTACCAAACTAAAGCTTAAGAAAACTTTTTAACTCTTTAATCTATTCTATTACTCTTTCTTCTTTCCTTGTTCTACTGCTGGCCATGTGGTTGTTAATACAACCAGAAGCGCCACCCTCCAGAGTCATGGGCCATAGTCCCAAGGAAAACCCTACCAACCTAAGCTAAGAAAAAAATTTAACTCTTTAATCTATTCTATTACTCTTTCTTTCTCTTCCTTGTTCTATTGCTGACCATCTAGTTATTAATATAACCAAGTCAATTTCCTCTCAAACTATTGCATTTAATGCTTGTCTTGTTATACCTCACCCTTGCCAAGTCAAAGACAGCTTACTTCAGAAAAGTAATTTCTGTCCCTCCTGACTCTCCTCAGACTAGGCATTAGTACTCTAGGACAATTTAATCCGGGGACATTTCAATAAAGACCCCAGTGCCAACCAGGAGTGTTGCCCCCTGATGTAGAGCTTTCATACCATAGTTGGTCCAACGTTCTGTACTCACTAAAGAGCAAGGATGGACTGCCCCAAATGGTTTTTGTAATTTCCTAAAACCACACATTCATTTTACTAGAGGATCATAGAAGTTAAAGACTTAAAACAAATTTTAGCAATTAAGACAGGATACCAAGATGCAAATGCCTGGTTAAAATGGATCAAATATTCCATCTGCACATTAAACAAAAGCAAATTGTTATGCTTGTGCACACAGCAGGCCAGAGGGCCCAGATTATCCTTCCACTAAGGTGGTCCTCCAGTCGATTAGGCGAGGCTGCATGGTAGCCTTTCCAGGATTCTACTGCCTGAGTAATAATCATGCCAAGCTCTCTCCGCTATATCCCAAAGTCCCTGCAGGTCAGCCCCCGAGGGCCATCCAGCTTCCATCTCCCAAAACTAAGTTCACTTCCATGTCTCTACAGCAGGAGGAAACTTAGCGTTCCTTGGAGACCTGAAAGGATGCAGTGAACTTAAGAATTTTCAAGAGCTTATCAATCAGTCAGCCCTTGTTCATCCCTGAGCAGATGTGTGGTGGTTTTGTGGTGGACCTTTACTGGGCACTCTGCTGAATAGCTGGAGTGGCACTTGTACTTTAGTCCAATTGACTATCCCTTTCACCCTGGCATTTCATCAACCAGAAGGAAAAAAAATAATTAGAGATCATAGTGAGAGAAGCCCTTATGGGTCTTTCAACTCTCATATCTATTTAGACGCAATTGAGTCCCACGAGAATACT